AAATTGATACTCCAGTCAAGGAAGTAAATGAAGAATCGGAAGTTATCGTCACTGCGTCTCCAAATGAAGTGGTAAATGATGATGGTTCATCGGTTCCCATGGATATTTTACCTGTAATAATAGAATAAGGATTAATTAGTTAATCAGAATGTGATTCTAATTAGTAAAATCCAACAATTACCTTATTTGGCGAAATCTCCTAATAAATGAATGAAACACGTCCGATATAATAAAATATAATAAAAATATATATATATATAATATTCTTTTTTTTAAAAAAAAAAATTGTTTTTTATTTTTTTATTTTTTTATTTTTTATTTATTTTTTTTTTTCGCTAAACGAAATGAACTATACGTTGTCTTTTGTCCTCTTGACGGCAATTACGCTTTCTTTTATGTCATATCAAACATATTCGATATGTATTGATTTCCATGATCCAATGGATTTAAGTAAATCATCAATAGTTGACTGTTCTTTGAAACAAAATGATAACGTTCTCGATGATAATTTTCAGTTAAATGATAATGATGACCTATTTCAGGTGAAATTTGATTGTCAAATCAATGATCAAGAAATATGTGCAAAAGTTGAAAATTCGTTCAAAACGGCAGGGGATATAATTACTACTTCTCTCGTGCTTCATACGCCCATCATCGTTGAAGCCATTTTTAGCCAAATGGATCCAAATGTATTAGGAGCGGCAGCCACGACCAGATTAATTACAATAACAGATGATGATAATAAGGAAAGGTTTTATCCACAAGCATTGGTAAAACAAATGCAGTTGACATCGCAAACGGCAGGGTACGCAGATTCAGACATAAAAGCACATTTTAATTCATTGCAAGATTGGTATTTCCCTGATGATACAGGATCTATAAAAGAAGGTCAACATGAACTTTTATATACCGTTTTGCATGAACTTATACATGGTTTAGGATTTCTTTCAAGTTGGAAAAATCATATTGACTTGCAATTACAAACGACAACAAGAGGTTTAACTCCTATTGTTGTAACGGGATCTAACGTTCCTCCCGATCTACCAGATGGATCATTTGAGTTTACGGGATTTTACGAAACTATATTTGATAAATTCATCGTGATGAATCATGACGACGATCGAGATGATTTGTCTACGTTGACTGACGAATTAAATCAATTCTCGGGTAAAAATAAACAATTTACACAATTATCAAGTTTTTATAATGAATTACAAAATTCTTCACAGTTTGATGCGGCTAAAGAAGCGCTCTCATTAAGCACCATAAGAAATTCTTTAATCTTTTTACCGAAAGGATCAACAAACATTCGAGATGATGGATTGATATTAGAGACGAGTCTTAACACTTTTATACCGGGAAGCAGTATTGTTCATGCAGACCTTGTCACGTATTCTACTGATTCGGATTTCTTGATGACATACACCGGATTGAAAGGCGTACCAATGAATGAAATCATCAGAAAAAGTGGTAATCGTACCGGTAACGCCATCGGTCCGAAATTACTTGGGGTATTAAATTCCATCGGATATACGATAGCTAATAATCCAATCAAACCAAAGTCATCATCCATCTCAATTTCAATTTCAAACAAACGTTCATTGATCGTAATCACATGTCAATTAATGCTATATATAATGATTAATCATATACCTTTTTTTTTTTAAAAAAAAAAAAAAAAAAAAAAAAAAAAAAAAAAAAAAATTTCAAAAATTAATTATCAAAGAAAAAAAATTAAGTCGTCTAAATAGTCCCAAAGATTAAGTATAATATTATTATTTACACCCAATAAATTTTGATTATTATTATTATTATTATTTTTTTTTTTGGTCAGCTCAACGCATTATTATTAAAATTAATAAATTAACGATCAATATCATCCAGAAATCTAATTTGTTGGTTTTAACATCAGCATTTGATTTTTTATGACTATTGTTTATAGCTTTTTCATTTGCATTTCCCGGTTCTATTGGTTCATTCACCGTTGGATCAAAATTGTTTCCAATTATCGTGACACTTGGTTTATATGGATTTGTATAGTCTGGCGTGGAATATCTACCAAAAAAAAAGATGGTTAATCATCTTACCACCACAACGATTAGCGTACTCAAATTCTTCGAAAATGCTCACCCCATCGTTTCCAAGATGAGTTTCAATTTTGGACTTATGACGGTCTTAACTTCCCCATAATTATTTCCATTACGAATAGCAATTAAAGTTTTCAAATCGGCTCCGTGATCCGCCAAATATTTCATGAGAAAATCAATGGTATTATTATAGGTTTTGAAATCTACATGACTTACGCTCGAACCCGGCTGATAAGGTACCAAACTAGTTTCTAAAATGATGGCATCATCAGCCTTTGTGGTTCCTCGAGGTAAGAATCCCAAAGTATTGTGCACGATAGAATAACTCATGACCTCTTTTGCCAATTGATATTGAGGTGAACTACGAAATTTTGTTATAAAATCTATATCGCTTTGAAAGTTCACTCCAAAGGCATTTTGAAACTTATTTAACTCTCCTGTGAATGCCGACAGCCTTTTTCCCGTCGGGATGTGAATGATATGTCTATCAAATGCCGATTCTAAAAATCCTTCAAACATGAATTGTTTCAATGGATTCCCGGATATTGAAATTTCCGGTGTCAACGCTTCGGGGGTTTCGTTCACATAATCTTCCCACCCTGACGCGAATCCCAATCCATGTATCATCTCATGTATTGCCACATATAAAAAATCCTGCTGTTCACGTGATATCGGAGGATCTCCCTCAAACCAATAACTTGCCCCCACGGCGTTAAATAACGCTGTAATATCAAAAGGTCCGAAGGAAGGATGTTGCTTAAATTGAAATTGTTTTACCAACGCTTGAGGATATAATCTGACTAACCCATCATTGTCTTGTAATGGAATTGTTCTTGCGGGAGTTGCCCCTCCTAACGTTACAAATCCACCTTTTGGACATTCTCCCAATGTCTTGCAAAAGTCCAAGAAACTGGCATTTAAATTTATCGGCGTATTAAGTTGTAAAGTGGATGAGATGATTTTACCAGCCGATTCAAATGCATTTTTCGCTTTATCACAAAGAGCTACATCCGGTATTCCACATGTAAATGTTAACAAAAACATATTTTCCCCATTTTGTTGCGAATATGATGTGGCAAATTTTATGGATTTCTGTTGCTTTTCCATTGGACATGTGGTGGATATTTTATACGTTCTATTTAAAGGATTTGGATAATCAAAGCATTGTGATAATGTACCAAGAATTCTTGAAAATGCTAATAATGAAAATATCACTAGTGAATCAACTTTCATTGTTATAAAAAAGGTCTGGTCTACAGATCTAAACCAAAAATCTTTTTATTTTTATTTTTTTTTTTTTTAAAAAAAAATGATGATAAAGAGGGGTACGGTGAAAAGAAGGTAGGAATGAAAGAAGGAGGAAGGGGAGGGAAGAAGGAAGGAAGGAAGGAAGGAAGGAAGAATAATTAAAGGATTGTCGAATACCGTTAGAGCTTATGAGAACTAGGCTCTCGTAAACTGTTTTCTCCGAAAAAAAAAAATAAATGACAAAAAAAAAAAAAATAAAATAAAATAAAATAAATAAAATAATAATAAAAAAAAAAAAAAAAAAAATCAAATAAATTAAGTAGTAACAATTTAATTAAAAAATCTATATTGTATTTGCTATTTATTTATTCTTTTGCTTCATTACATAATTCCGTAGTAGAAGTCATTTGCTGATTCGTGTTTTGCCATGCATTTCGTGGTCTTACAAAATATTGTAATCCACGAAAAGCGCAGTAAACAAAACAAAAAAAAAAAAAGATTAATATAAAGCAGTGGTTGCGTCTGGTTTTTGGCCAATCAATTTAGCCAAAGGAAACAAGGATTTCGTTTCTTCACAAAATTAATTTCTGAGTGACCGATAGACTTCTCTTTATCGTGTGTCTATACATTCATTGAACATTGCATTTATTAATATGTCTTGGCAATAAAACTTACATTACATGCCAATGTTTATTATTCTTTGAAAAATGCATTAATAAATTTGGTCGAAATCATAACTTTTTTAACCTAAATTAGTGCTCAAGTACTTGCTTCACCAAATGGCGTACAAGGTTAATTATGTAACAGTTTCATAAATGACAAATAAATTTTGTACTATCGAACTCAACTTTGTTTAAACTTCGAATTATGAATTCTATTTGTGATTTTTCGTGAACGTAATTAGCATGTTCTTATTACATTATCGAGACAATGGGTTATATATACATATATTTTTTTTGGTGTTGATTTGAATATGGTGGATGAAGACTTTTTGTATGTTAATAAATAAAAATGTTGATTTATTTTTTTTTTTTTTTAAAAAAAAAAGCAATCATATAAACGCTGCAATTTGATATTACAATTTTTTTTTTTCATGTGAAAACGACTAGAACGAAATGTCATAGTAAATTTAAAATAATAAAATATATATATGTTTTTTCAATGAATCCATTATTAGATAACATTCTTTAATTTCATAAATTATTGAAAAAATTTCTTGAGTCGTTTGTTCCCAATCTGCTAACCCGGGAATAAATTCAGCACAATATCAATAAAAAAAAATGAAACCTGGCTCGTAATGATTGTTTACTGAGCCACAAATGTGATCAACGCGTGACATTCGAATTGATGCAAGCTCATACTTCAAGGTTATGCAATTTGCCAAAAATGTATCTTTATTGAAGGACCCTTGCATGGTCTAGAATAACGTGAAACAATACATGTCAAAATAAAATTTTCCGATCCACTGCTTTCGTCTTGATGATGAATAATAACGCTGTTTGTTGTTGGAATGTTCAATTGAACATTTATTTCCTTTTTTTTTTTTAAAAAAGAGAAAAGAGAAAATCCGCGAATAATATTCATATTCTAATAAAAAAAAAAAATAATAATAATATGTTCAACAAACGATCAAAAGATGTATATAAAATCATATCAATGAAATTATTATTTACATTGTTTACATTGAAATAGAGTAATGATCATAGCTTTTTCGGAGAAAGTCAACAATTTATTGTGAAAAATGAGTTGACAAGCAGAGTCCCAATCATGTTGCTTATGATAATTTGCCACATAACAAGCTTCTCGCACCGCGAGTGCTACTATACGAGTTCTATTACTTTCTTCAAAAATGTAATTTTCCTCGGTTTGTGGGTTGCCGTTGTTATGGACTTGACTTGTTTCTTGATTCATTACCGCCAACTACGATTTTTTTTTTAAAATAAAGAGTATAAATCAGTATATATTAGTTTTTATTTTTTTTTTACTTTGGTATTCTTTCATAAACGCACCGGCATAATTTCTTCGGAAGCGAGACAAAATGTGGAAAATTAAAAATGTGAATTTTTAAATAATCACAGAGTGTTCAAGGATTCCAAACAACAATTTTATCTATTTATTTATGTATTGTACGGTACATAAAAAAAGCTGATTCTAGATTTCAGCATCATTATGCCAATATGTGAATTATTTCCATATTTGATCAAACCACCGAAAGCACCTCTTCAATCCCTTCTTTTTCACTTTAATTTACATGTGATTGGAAAATTATATAAAGATATATCGTGATTATTTCTCTAGATGCTTTTTCTGGCTCTTTATTGTGTCAATCAAGGTGCATTCCATGACATTTTCTATCAAACAAAGTTGATTTGATACGAAATATGAACTTACAATATCAATATGGTAATTAAGGATGTGTCAGTAAGAAGATTATCGATCCAAGGCTCAAGAAGGGTTCGTGATCCGGTAACCCTTGTACAATGTCAATCACTGGGGGTTTTACATGATCGTGCTTCTAAATTTCAAGAAAAATTAAACGTTTTTGAGAAATTTTTTTTTCAAAAGTTAGAACTCACCTTGTATCAAAGGTTCGTTTTTGCAAGTTTCAATTAATATCATTGGTGTGTCGGTCTCAATATAAATATTAATAATATCTTATTTTTCCAATGGAAGGCCGATCTTTACGTCTTACATTTTAAGATTTGTATCAATTTTTGGCGCAAGCACGATCACGAATATACAAATTCGAATGTTTAAATTAGTTTTTAAATGTAACAAATGTAACAATGAATTATCAGCCACAAATTACTAAAATGTATGATGTCAAAAATAGGTGAACAAAGTACGCCACAGATAAGTTCGGTTAGTACAATCAACGCCACATCGTACGAATTGGAAAGCACGGACGCACAACCTATTAATCTTCTTGAATATATAAGAAACATTAATTCTTTCTTTTTACCTTTTCCCCTTAATTTGCATTTTATACGATCATTTATTCATATTCATCTATAGGATGAAGCATTCGTTAAAATTCATCACGATTTCTACCTTTTTCATCGCAACCTTAATTTCCCCAAATCAAACATCATCAATAAAATGTTTTGATCATCCAAATTCATTAAACTTTCATCAAAGAATACCCGTAAATTGTAATTTTTCTACGAGATCATTAAAAACAAAAAGGAAATCTTCTAATGATAAATTTCAAATAAATTTCACGTGTGGAATCGATGATAAAAAGCTTTGTGATAAGGTTCAAAAAAGCTTTGAGTCTGCTGGTCAGATCATTGATGCAACCATATCGCTAAGGAATCCTATAACAGTTGATGCTTCGTTTTATGATTTTTGTAAAACTGATAATCAATGTTCCAATGATAATAAGATCGTAGCTGGTACGTGAATTAAAAAAAAATTCCATCCGTGTCCTTCCCCATTTTTTTTTTTTTTTTTTTTTTTAAAAAATTAATTTACTTTAGGTGGAGCGAATCCGGCAAGAACAATAGCATTGATGGATGAAGAAGGTGTAGAGAGACATTACCCTCAAGCTTTGGTTAAACAATTACCATTTGAACGTCATCCAGATTTTGGTCCTTTTGATATTTTGGCAAAATTTAATTCAGAAGCGGATTATTGGTTTGAGGGAGATGAATCACAAATCAAACCTAATCAGGCGGACTTTCAATTAGTAGTTTTACATGAACTGATTCATGGATTGGGATTTTATTCAAGTTGGAATGACTTTTTCGATTTTGTCAATCCGCAAGGATTAACTCCAATTCCAAGCGTTGAAGGAGAGTTAAATGAAAATTCAGGAATGATATTTAATGGATTCATTGAAAATATATTTGATAAATATTTGATCTTTTTATCATCCGGGGAATACGCATCAAACATCACGACTATAATCAATACAATAGTAAACGAAAAGGGGAAATTTTATGAAACTCCAAAAGATTTTATTATAAAATTTAAATCTTCTCCACAATATCTTCAATCCCAAATGATGTTGAAAACCGCAACGATTCCTTTCTCTTTAGGATTTTTACCTAAAAATGCGAATGATTCAAGCGAAGCCATTGTACTTGAAACCACCCTAAATCCGTTCCAAACGGGATCGAGTCTCGGTCATTTTGATTATAAAACTTATATGAATACTTCTGATTTTTTGATGACATATAAACAAGATTCGGGGTTGACACTTGGTGATTATATGTCTATCGGTGGTAATTACACTGGCGGTCCGATCGGTCCAAAATTAAGACAAGTTTTAAAAACAATGGGGTAAAAATCGCGTATTTCAAGAGATTTTTTATTGCTTTTAAAACATTATTTTTTAAAAATTAATTATATATTTTTTTACTTTGAAAAAAAAAAAAATGTGCCATTAGGTATGACATAAAAGACGTTTATATCAGTCCTTATATACCTAGCGTAACATCGAAAGTGTACAGTCAAGCTGCTATAAATGCACCCTCAAAGAACGTGGTTTTCGTAATATTTATCGTTATTATAAACATCATTCTTGTAAATTAATGCATAATATTCATGACATTCAATCAACGAATAAGTTTGTAAATTTTTATTTTTTCTTAATGAGAAATTTCTATATTTATATGTATTAAAACAAATATACGGGTTTAAAATTGTATATAAAAGGTTTTCTAATAATCAATTGCAACTAGTTAATATGATTGAGTTCCGGCGCCAAGTTATCCAAATCAGTCTTTAACTGAAACCTTAAACCAACTCTAACCATAAACTTGCCTATTAATCATGAATATTAATTAGCCAAAGATATTAGTTAATTTAAATTCAATAAAAAAATGTATATCTACCAATTCATGTGCAAAAGTACTTTGATCTGCCGAACACATCTTTATTTACCTAATACGTGATTATTTGAACATCGAGAAAATTCCACAGGATCAAGTTATTGTTTTGTTGGAACAAAAGAGTAAATAGGCGTTGTTTTTTATGAAACATAATATCGGATTTATCATCAATTTTCGGTTTTTTTTCATCTGATGATAGCCGAAACTTAGAAACCAATAAAAAAAAAAAAATGAAAAATAATTAAAACACACTTTATGTACAATATTAGCCTAAAATCAATTTTTGGCGTCTATAACAAGCCACTTTGAATGTGAATGATCCCGTGAATTGCTAAACACCACAAAAAAGATCCCTACATTCCTTTTTATCTTTAAATCTCTTCATATATGCAAAATCTCTCGTTGTTCATGATTCTTTGTTATTCTTGATCTCCCGCCTTCCTTTCGTTCATCTATAAAATCTTTAAATATTTCAAAGATTTTTCAAAATATTTCTTAAAAAAGTAAATCACATCATAACAAGTTGACTTATTGATTATTTCAACCATACAACCAACCCATTCGCATATTTCTGCGCCACATTCATTAAACCCATGAAGATCCCACCATCATTCCTTCTATTATCTATTGCAAGTTTAACATCGATTAGGGAGATCGCAGCCCAATGTTATGACTACACGGATGCGTTGGATCTAAACGCAAGGATTCCAACATCATGTAAACTGGTCGATAAGATTGAAATACCAACGCCTCCAACAAAAGCTCCAGCCGAATCAAGTAAATTTATAATCGATTATAAATGCGAAATTCAAACCAATCAAGATTTATGTGCAAGAGCGCAACGATCGATACAAAAAGTCTGTGAAATTTTAACGGAAAACCTGAGTTTAAGGAAGAACATTAATGTCGATGTCTCATTGAAAGATTTATGCCCTACCGATGCTCAACAATCATGTAATGAATTAGGCGGCGCGGGATTTGCCAGAACCATGGAACTTTTGGATGATGATGACATTATTCGAGAATATCCAACAGCGCTTGTAAAGCAATTTGATTGTGATCAACATTATGAATTTGGTGATGTCGATATACGCGCTGTGTTTAATGGAGGGAATGCTACTTCGTTATGGTTTGAGGGGGATCCACAGATCACATCGGATCAAATAGATTTTAGAAGGTTAGTTTTAAAGAAATTTATTAACGCGTTAGGAGTAAAAACTAGTTGGATAGAACAACCGATCTTTGATAAAGTAAGCCCTACAATTTTAACGCCACAACTAACCTTGTCACAAGAAAATGGTGGTGACTTTGAGTTTAAAGGATTTAAAGAATACGCTTATGATAAATATATAATATTTCGTGGTAAAGAACTTCAATCAATTCATGATGCTGCAAAATCACTTGACGAATTCGTTAAAGAACCGGATGTTAAATTTAAAGATCAAGAAGAATTTATTGCACAGTTAGTTAAATCACCACAAATTGAAGCGGCTCAAAGGATGGCAAATGTCAGCGTTAATCCATTTACATTAGGGTTTCTGCCAAGAGGGGCCAAATCTGATGATGATGTGATCGTTTTAGAAACTTCATTCAATCCTTATCAAAATGATGTTAGTATGAATAATTTTGATGCAAGCATTTATGCTGATACCGAGGATTTCTTGATGGTTTCAACTTTAACAAGCGGAAAGACGCTAGAAGATTCCATGGGGAAATTTCTGAGTCCACTTGGTCCTAGATTAATTTCTTTATTGGAAACATTGGGGTAAGAAACAGCACATAGTGAATATACAGTATATATATATAAATAACTAAATTGACATTCTTTTTAACAATTTTAGATATCCTACTAAAAAATTACCAGAAAATGATTTCAAAGTTTGTAAGATCCCTTCACAAACACCATCGCCATCGCCATCGTCATCACCATCACCATCACCATCACCATCATCATCACCATTACCAACTTCACCGTCATCACCATTACCATCGTCACCAACCATAACAACCACAAAATCAACAACTTCCGCATCAACAACAACGACTGTTCAACAGACTAATACGGAAGTTATTTTAACAAAGACTACGTATGTTGTAACAGAGATCAAAACCGTGTCTAAAAGTGTTGTTACCGTAATCGAAATTGTTACTGGTCCACCACCACAACAAACGCTACCACCAACAAATAATAATCCTTCCCAAGATGATGATAATAATGATGTTATAGATAATTTCGGTCAAGATATTTTCAATTCTTCTTCATTTAATATTCAAAATAATCTTACTTTAATGTTTATTGCTTTAGTTTGTTGTATATTGGGAAGTTTAAATACTATATGATTTATTTTTTTTTATTTTTTTAATGTTATTCGGTTAGTTTTAAAATGTGTAGCACAAATTTATTTTCTGTGAATCCGCAGTGTTAAACGCGCAAAAAATCCAAGAAAATGAATAAAATCATTCTTTTCTAATTATGGTATTCAAAAAGGATCATAGAATAAAGTTGTTCAATTTAAAGAGGATAATCCATAGCTGCCAGAAATTTGACTTATCCCGTTAATAATCTTGTAAATAAAAATTATATCGTCAAAAAAAAAATGCTTTAGGGTTCGATCTCTACTTTCTAAGTTGCTTAAAAATTTCAAAAATCTCGTATATTCGGTTTTGCTTGATAAATATTGCAGTACTTCAAGTAAATTTGCGCGAGGCTTTCTCAGGGACGGTTGTTAGCAATTGGATTTTTTTTTTGCTTTGGTAATCAAGTAAAAAAAAAATTTCAAAATTTTCTTATCCTTTTTATTATAACGATCAAAAAAAAAACAAATATCATTGTGCGTCATCATGAAATCATGATATCATATCATGATTAAAATCAAAATAAGGGGAGCGCGTCCATTTTCAAGAAGTAATCACAAGAAAAAAAATTATCCAAACAATTGTTATTGAGCGGAGCGTCATCAATTAGTATCCGTTTTAAAATCAAAAGTGTGGTTATCGAGATTTCGCTCGCGAAACAAAAAAAATTATTGTAATTTTTTTTTTTATTTTTATTTCTTTCGCATAATAAAAAATAATGGATGAAACCAATATGCTAAAATGCCTATAAATCAATTTATCAATAATTTATTATAGTGATTAGTCAATTTCTATTAAGAATTAATTTGAACATAATGAAAAAAAAATTATTACCCGTTCTAATAAATTGGTATATATAATACGACATGTTGGATGATTTTATAAAAAAAAGGCAGGTGATTCATTTTTTTATATATGAAACCTTACATAGTGACTTAACCTTCACCTGGATTCCATTGTTTGATGTAGAAACAAAAAAAAAAAAAAAAAAATGTATTTTCGTTGACCTTGACGTCTGTGTAATACAATTCAGGGTTATTTTTAACAAGGTAAAAATAAATTTTCTTTATTATACAATGGGAACATTGCTTTTCCTTTCATTTTTTTTTTCTTTATATATTTTTCAATGATAGTGAATTTACAAAAAAAATGTCTTGGCAAACAAATTTAACATTATTCGATTCATTACAACCTCTTCCATTCATAATCTTCAACGTGATATTAAACTAATAAAATAGGTAATTTAAAAGAAAAAAAAATAAAATTTGAACAAATAATTTTCGTGCATAAATAAAACAAAGTTGGTCCACAAAGCACATTCTTTCCTAAAATAGATTGTCATCCTGTTTGATGGTGACAATAATAAATCCCATCTGCGAATTGTAACTAAAAAAGGGTGTAAAGCAAATCACCTTCCTCTGAAACAGTAAGAATCACTTTTTGTTGTTGTATTGTATGTTATATTGTAGTATTAAGTTGTGAAACAAAACTGAAACAAAATGTATTATTTCTGCAACGTGGCTCATTTAAAGGAAGCAATAAATATGTGCCATGAATCAATAAAAATAAAAACAATAAATTTTAACCTTTCCCCTCATTTTTTAGTCACATTTCTCATCTATTCATACTTCTTCATTTCCTTGACGGAAACCATTTCATTAGGAGACTTCCGGAAAGCCTCCATACCTTCACTTTACACTTATTCAACCCTAATAAATAGACATAAACATATATATATTAAATATGAAGACGTCGTTATCATTCATTCTTTTCTTCTTACTTACTATCAGCATTGATTCCATAATAGTAGATGCAACGTGTTGGGAACATCCGAATCCAATCAAGCCATTCGAGAAAAAAATCTCTTCAATATGTGGTTTACAAAAAAAGACAAAAGACAAACTGAAGGCAGAAGTAGGCAAAGAATCACAAAAAGATGAAGTTCATTCCTTGGCGGCAAATGAAGCATTTAAATTCGATTTCTCTTGCGGAGTTCCTGATAAGGCTTTATGTACCAAAGCGGAAAATGCATTCAAGTCGGCAGGGGAAATAATAGCGAACGTAATCAATCTGGTTACCCCGGTAACGGTTAATGCCACTTTCACCGATTTTTGTAAAGCCCTTAATGAATGTGACGGTTCGATCCTTGGAGCGGCGAGCGCGGCAAGGTCGATCCCTTTGCTAGACGATGATAAAGTGGTTAGGCAATATCCGCAAGCGTTGGCAAAACAATTTTTGTTGGATCCAACACCTCAGTGGGGACCTTTTGACATTCAAGCGTTCTTTAATGCTCAAGCGGACTTATTCTTTAAAGGGGATGGTGTGATTAAAAAAAATCAATTCGATTTCGAATATATCATTTTACATGAGCTCATTCATGGTCTTGGTTTCGCTTCCGCATGGAACAATTACTTTTCCGAACAACCTGTTGCCTTAACCCCTGATCCAAATTTTCTCGAGATGATAACGGAATTAAGTCAACCCGTAAAATTCACGGGATTTGAAGAAAACGCGTTTGATAAATATATGGTAAACACCAGAGTGAAGGGAACCCCAAAGAGGATGACGGAATTTACAAACGAAATAAATAGTTTTGCCGAGATTGGAACCGATTTCCCATCCGTACAAGCTCTATTAAACGCGTTCGGAGATTCTAGACAATTTCAAACTTCCAGTCAATTAATCCTTGATGGTCAAACTCCAAAGACCATGGCCTTTCAACCTCGTAACGCTAGCTTAAATGATTTGGTCTTCTTGGAGACGAATCTCAAACCTTTTCGAATTGGTTCATCGATTTCTCATATGGATATAAAAACTTTTGATAATGATCCGGACTTTTTGGAGGTTTTTAACGCTAAACCGGGTCAAACCTTGGATCAAGTTCTTAAGGCTACCGGTGGAAAAGCTCCTATTGGTCCAAAATTAAAAAGTGTTTTGGAGACCTTGGGATACGCCACGAATGAGAATCCAAATCCTTATAGACCGACATTACCGAGCGATTCTCAGGTTACACCAAGTCAGATTCCTATTTGGAAGTCTACGAATAATCAATCCTCCTCCGCCACATCATTGACGTCTAGCTTTAACGTTCTATCTTTATTTGTCATCGTAGCCTTCACTTTATCATTTTAGAAATTTTTTTCTTTTCTTCGCTAGTTCTTATAATAATTTTATGTACCAATTTTCTTTTTTAATACTATCAAGTAAAAAATGTATTTTAATAAAAAAAAAATGTATACGTCGGACAATCGTCAGACATTATTAAGATCAATCGCCTCGGATGATTTGTTCGCGTCGGTTACATGCGCATCTATTTACATTGTGTCGATCCGTGATGGAAAGAAAAAAAAAAAATTTTTTTTCGAACGAGATGAAAAGGAATTAATCGACAACAGCAGGGTTTGAACCTGCGCTCCCATAGGGAATCAGATTTCAAGTCTGACGCCTTAACCACTCGGCCATGTTGTCCAATGAGTCTAACAGTTTGGAAAAGGAAGAATATTTAAAGATATTTTCTGATTTCGGTTTTTTTTTTTGACAATCGCAAAAAAAAAAAAAAAAAAAAAAATGAAAAATGAAAAAATGTTGGTTCCCAGATTAAATAATAACGGATCTATTTTATTAGGTGACTAACATCGATGTCACAATTATCTATAATAAATTATTTCACAATTTAAATTCCAATTATAAAAAAAGAAAGAAAGAAAGATAATAAAGAGTTCTCATGTCTTTTTAAAAAAAAAATAATATTTTTTTTTTTTCTTAGAAATAAAATACAAAGATTACTAACGTATAAATATTGTGAAGTGATGAATTAAACTAGTTCGACAAAGAATTACCCTTCCCCTTCACCCTTCCCCCACCTATTGTTGATGTGGTGGCTGCTGCTGTGGATCGTTGCCTTCTGCGGCCATAAAATGATGCTGCTGGAAAATTGGAGGTTCCAGTGGTGATGTTAATTCAACCATTGAAGTCGAAGGAGTCGATGTTCCATACATGGTTTGAGAACGTTGAGGAACACGCGGCGGCGGAATGGCAGCCGAACCAACGGCACCTTCAGAGTATGATTCTTCAAAAGGTTCTTCTTTTCCTTCATCTTCTGATTCAAACATCACCGTACTATCATATTGATGAGGAGGTTTTTTAACACTTCTACTATCTTTTTCTCTTGAGTCTTTTTTAGTTGAAGACGATGATAAATATAAGGGTTTTAAACCGCGAGAAGCTGCTGCAGTTCTTTTACGACGAAAAACGAAAAATAACAAGGCAACTATAGCACAAACCAGCACCAGAAGGGTTATTATTACGATCACTAATACAAATGGCGAATTTAATTTAAATATTCCGTCACTGGTTCCATTAGAATTCGTGGTGTCTGGGTATAAATTCGAATCTTGTGGTGACGATAATGTTTCTTGTAATAACGGTGGTGTTGATTTTCCGGACCAATTGCAAACATTAGATGAACAAGTTCCTCCTGATATGCAATCGGCATCACTCTGACATTCAAATATACACCACCCTTCTTTACAGATTTGACTGACAATTGAATAAGTACAATTTATAGTCGATTGACATGTTTGATATACAACTGGTTCAGTCATGGATAGTAATAGAATAATGTAATGATATTACATTTATAAAAAAAAATAATTATATTTCTTTTTTTTTATGAGAAGCATTCAATTTACTTCAAAGTTGACAATTTTTTTTTTTGATGGTTGGTAGTTGGTTGCTGTCGTGGTTGCTTTGTTGTTGAATTTATTCAAAAAAAAAAATTTTCTTTTTTTTTTTTTTTATTTCCTTTATACTTTTAACTAACAAAAAAAAATAAAAATATAAAAAAAAAAAAAAAAAAAATAGAGGTGAAAAATTTTCCAATTTAATGGGGCTATAAAATCTTTAAAAAATTGCTTTTTAGGCTGAATTTCTTTCAATCAGCCCCCACGGTTCTTCCGGTGGTCAGGTGCGTAAAAAGGCTTAGACAACTTGCTTAGACTTTTATATCATCGTTCAGAACAGGAATTTGCCGGTATGTGAGCGAACTATCACGCGTCATATTCGTAAATAAAACGTGGCTGTGCAACAAACTTTCGAAAAAAACTTTTCTCCTCTAGGAAAAAAAAACCTTTTCGAATTCTTGTATTATTATTGAATGTAAAACATCCATCAATTTTTTTTTATATTGATTTTTACATAGCCACGTTGTGTATGACGGAACTATCCTTAATAAAGATGATTAAATTTTTTTCGAAGCCATATACTTTTGTGTTAAATCAAAGGATCGAATTAATTATCAGAAAGGTACAAATTAAAGCCGCATTTCTAACCGTCAATATGTCGAAATAATTCGGATTATTGCTTGACATTTTAACTGTGAAACTGCGAAGACAGTGGCTCAGCAAATCATTTCATCATTTTTCTTTTAAACTATCCAACACTTTGAATCACAATCAAATAAAAATAAAATACATTAAAAACAAAAATAAATATTAATGATCGATTTATTTCATGTTCATGCTTTTTTTAAATTAAATTAAAATAACTATTGCTGGTTACACAACTTACGCGCACGCATTGCGTGATGCCACATTTCTTTTTTAATAATTCTTTTTTTATTTACATTTTTAAACACAGAAAATCCGTATTGATATATATCATTAAAAAAGTATAAAAGAAAGATTATATGTATTTATATCAGAAACCATACATTTTCCACAAAAAAAAAAAAATTTCATTTAATCACATCAAAGATGATGTGAACTTATTATTAAAAAGATTATTCGAAAAATACCACATTAAAGGAACTAATGGTACAATGAAATACCAAATTTGCGCTAATTCAAATACACTATTTAACTTCATTGGCACAACCCTCGGTGAACCATATCCCGTAAAATGTCCTTTTGCATAAAATTCTTCCAATAATGCATCCTTTTCTATCCACCTTTGTCTTAACCACGCCGTAAATTTATCTTCGTCCTCCGGTATCTCTGAAATCGCATACCTTCGAATATGCAAATGTATATTACGAGGATATCGTCCCTCAAAATAAATTTTTAATAACGTGTATATCTCTTCTGGAAATTCTCCTCTCTCCACCCCTTCCAGCCCGATAGTTAGATCATATATATAATCAACGGTTTTATGCAATGATCTAGTACAAAAATATAACCCTGTGGATCGTGGTAGTAATACATGCTCATGATCCGGCTAAAAAAAAAAAAAAAAAAAGAGGAATCAATGATAGTTGAAATGCAAAATATTGATCTTTTCGAGATACGTACCAGTCCAACTTTATCCGCAAATTTTTTGGACGCTATACGTGTCACATCGGATACCACTGTTCCCTCTGGAAATATAAGCAACCATAAAGGTTCCTTGGAGGCGGAGAGACTCGATAACGTCTTTGACAATGGGCCTTTATCAACAGTCCAATTTCGTTTCAAAAAGATGAATTGGAAAAATCGCATACCCTAAAAAGAAGAAACGTGTATAGATAATGAAATTAATATATTTGAAATAAAAAAAAAAGGGGGGGTTTAAATCATTGGGTTACATAATTCGTTCCCGAATATTAATGAAAATTGAAAGGAGTAAATCGTTCACATAATCATAATCATAAACAATTCTTACCCTATATAACAAATATGTTAGTAACTAAAATGGAATGGTATTAAAATATAGTATAAAATTGAAAAAGTGTCGAATGACTAAACCTACCAACCAAATATTGGTAGCCATTTCAAGGAATCTTTTAAGATGATCTTAATGGCACCATGAGCGTTAGCCAAATACGAAAATACCCTAATGGTAGAAGTTGATGCAACACGCGACACATTAAATCGATGATCCAGTAGATGGATGGGATGTTAACTGAACTCTCGTTTACGCTTACCATATGTATACCCAATCAGCGTATATCTGAAATTAGTTGTATTAGAAATGCAAATATTTTCGTCATTAATTTCTAGAAAATAATAGAGACGACCAAACTTACTTGATGATTTGCTATTAATATAAGTCTTTCGGGCATATCCAAATCTATTTTAGCTCCATTCCAACTTTGTTTTAAAATATCTTCAGTGGATTTATCCAATGTGATCACAAAATTGCTAGGTGCAAAGAATTGATTGATGGCAACTAGAAGAATGCCAAAACATCTCTGGGTATGTTTAATATAATTGTGATAAAGGTTATTTTGAAGTGGCCAAAGAAATAGAAGGCTAAGAAATTGTGAAAAATTGAGCGCAATTGACTGCCCGGCTAGAATAAAACGCGTTGTGTTATTCTCTGACTTGTTTTCAAAGTTACATAAAATGATAGACTAGCGAGGAAGGAACAAAAAACTTTTGATACTAACCATAGAACACAACGAAAACAGCTGTTCGCACGAACCACTGCACAAAACTTAATGTCTGTGGTCCTCTTTGAGCAGGCATTATTCTACAATGTCAATGCTACAATTTCAAGAGTTAACGTCAAAAGAAAACAGAAAAAAAAAAAAATTAGGGGTAGCAATTACCAAAATTCTTCACATTTATATACTTCCATAGTTGGTTACATTTGCTAAACCCGTGAGTACGCACGGCCCGCTTTATAGAAAATTGGACACGCAGGAGACTGATCTGTCACACTATGGTCCTGCAGATTTATATGGCAAGGTTCAGCAAATGATAACTTTACACGATGTGACCCCATGGTGGTATTATTGTTATTTTTTTTTTTTTTGACTGATTTTTTGTTGCTCAATTTTCGATTTATGATAAATGATGCTTTGCCATTTTGAGAATTTAAAGAATGAGAATTTTTAATTGTGCGCAGTAAAATCCAGCCCTGGTCTGAGTATACCAAAATTTATATTAAAGATTGTCAAAAACCGAATTCCTTGTTATTCTCCATATGGCAACAAATAGATTATCTTGCCAATTACAGCTAACCATCTTGAGAATAAAAGAATATTTGATAACAGAAACATTTTTTAAAGTAAACCAAGAATCTACCCCCTAATCATAGTAATCATTAGTAATTGAAATTTTTCATGTGATTCTCTTTTTCTTTTTTGTGACGCGAAAATATTTAAAAATTCCATTTGACGTCATCTTATGGTGTAATTTTATGTATTTATTTTTAATGTAACATTATAAATTTTAGACATCTCACGGAAATTCCTCTTTTAAATTCATGTAAATAATAGTATGATTTTTGTGAAACGAAACACCTAAATTAAACAGTTTGCGCCACGAAAAAAAAGTATATAAACGAATGAGACCCAAATCTCAGATCTCTCCTTTTTTTTTTTTAAAACCTTTTCTTTCAAGGAACGATGAAATTTCATTCTCCACTAATATTATTTATTCTCTTGATTTGTTTCACAAACAATGTATGCTCCTTTCATCAATCATTTAACATAACCAGATCGATATGTTGGGACGTTCCGGATCCATTGAATTCATGGTATCGAATTCAAACATCATGTCCAATGATCAAATCATCGGCTATTAAAAAGAGAGCTCCCACAAATAATTCTGAAATGTTTATAACATCATTTAATTGTAATGCTGATAATTCAGCTTTATGTCAAAAAGTCAAGAAGTCATTTGATACGGCGGGACAAATTATAACATCCACCATAAAACTCAACACACAATTGGTGGTTAATGCCACTTTATTGGATTTTTGTAAAGAAATAGGTCAATGTCCCGATAAAATGGGTCACGTAACTTTAGGTGGTGCTGGACCCGCTAGATTCATTCCGTTAGAAGGTCCGGATGGTGTGCTCAGGGTGTATCCTCAAGCTCTTTTAAAACAATTGGTTCAAGGAGTTGATCTAGGATTTTATAAATATGATATCAATGCATACTTTAATAGTCAGGCGGATTATTGGTTTGAAGAAGACGGTTCAATTAAACCGGGTCAATCGGATTTTTTATTCGTTATTTTACATGAATTAATTCATGGTTTAGGATTTGCCAGCGGGTGGGATTCATATAGTGAAATATTAGGGATACCGGATATCATTACGCCATCACCATTTGTATTTCAAGAGGATGACGGAAAAATTATTTTTGGTGGATTTCAAGAATTCATATTTGATCAATTTATGGTATTATTACCCGAGGGAAGTCGTGCATCTGATATTACCGCAGAATTGAATAAATTTCCTGGAATTGGAACTAAATATGATTCAATTGATGATTTCTTGAATTCTTTCGCGATTCTCTTCCTTTCTTCTCCTCAATACACAATTTCTCAACAAATGATGACGAGATCTACCACGCCTAAATCTCTTGGAATTTTACCATTGAACAAGAATAATGTTGAAGATGCCTTTATCTTGGAGACTTCAATTATACCCTACAGACCAAAGTCGAGTATCAGTCATTGTGATTACGCAACCTATACCAATACTCCTGATTTCTTGATGAGGTATTTACAAGATCCCGGTGTTTCTTTAAAAGAATCTATTCGGTTAGGTAAGAATTACGCCGGTGGTCCCATTGGTCCTAAATTAACCGAAATATTAACGTTATTGGGGTGAGTATTCGTTTTTTTCCATTTTTTTTAAAAAAATGAAACTAGAAAGTTGGTTTGTTATATTATTATTATTTTATTAATTTTGAGGAAACATTCTTTTTTTTTTGATTAAGATATCAAATTCAGGATTTACCAAACCCATATAAACCAAACCCTGATGAAGTAGGAAAAGGTTCTGCATCATCTCTAAAGACATTTAGTCCACGTTATAAAATTATTCAGTTCCTGCTTCAGTTGTCATTTAGCTATATATTAACTAATTATGGACCATTATAAGAAGAATCTTTAATGAATTGATTTCATTGTAATTCTATTCTGTAAATAAAAAGAGTTTTAATCAAATATCGAAAGATTTTAATTTATTTTGTTGTACGACGATATTCGGAAGATTCTCATTGTTCTATAAAGTAAGTCAATTTCTTAATGTCGGACAAGTAAAATGGCATTTATACTTGTCCCATGTCACGCATTGATTTATTAAATGCACTTTGTAAATTCGTGTATTTATTTATTTACAGTCATTTCTTTTTTTAAACAATAATTTAGCAAGGTAATAAACTCTTGTATAAATCGCGACGAGTGATTTTTTTTTTTTTTTTTTTTTTTTTTTTTTAAAAAAAAAAACTACAAGAAAATTAATTCAAGATTTAATTTTATTATATTAGTGAAATCAATAAATGACTTTACCAATTCATTTGTGATTGATTCTTTAAGCACAAAACTTATCGCATTGGGGTTTATAATTTTAATAAATAAGAAAGGTCTCGTATCATAGTCAACTAAATGTGTTTGGCCAACTTTCTTAACGTCGTATTATACTACGTTTTATTCAACAATAATTCATCCTCCCTTCATGAAGGGTGTTTTTTACACATCGTTTCTGCGGTTGCTTTATCGGCTGGTATTAGTCAATATTGATCATCACATTGTTTTAAAGCCAAGCCCGACGTTGTTTATAAAGTCAAATGACTTGAAATAAAGTTTTAATGTAACGCCTAAACGCCCTAAACACTTAAAAAGGTGATTTTTTAATGTGACACCGGAATCAAAAAAAAGTGGTTCACATCGATTCTGAATAATTTTTTATGTTATGATACTTCAATAAACATACGCTTTCATTGATATTAAAGAATTTAATGATTACAAACAGACTAAATACATGAATATACAAAAATAAAATAAATCAATTCATTCAGAATGAAGAAAATCATTTCAGTGGTTTCATTTGATGATGGTTAAGCATTCCCTCAATACATAACAGAACTGTCTCATCCGGATTCAAAACTAATAAAAATAAAAAAGAAAAATATTTAGTGAATGAAACGGTTAAAATATTGTAAAAAGCTTTTGTTAATTACATACTAGTGACTTTCGTATACATCATATTTTTCATATTTTCCATATTTTTTTGATGATGTTCATTTATAGGCAAAGTTGCAGTAAAGTCGAAATTTCCCTTTTCAACTGGGCACACGAATCCGCTTGGATCAACAAATAATTTACAATAATCGGTTTCAATTACAGGTTTTCCATTAGGATCATGATAAACCCTCATTAATGCGCCTTCTTCAATAACTACGGCAGTTTGACCAACCGTATGAATCGTAATATTTTGACCTATGATAATTGGATCTGGAGAAATGGTCAACGAAGTAAGGTTTATTGGGTAGTCGTAGTCTTTGCACGGTTTAAAACCAGAGAGTGAGTCATCCATTCGTATATATAATGGTGTTGATTTAACGAATGATGTGAGGACTAAGAAGATACAAAATAAAATTATAATGCGATTCATTTTTTCTCAGATTTAAAAAATTTTTTTTATTTTAATTTACAAAACATCATGACGTTGGTTTTATATATTCTAAAAAAAATGTCGTCATGCAGCCACAAGATCTCTTTTCTTGACAATATGATTTACTTAACCAAATGGGATGGGGACATTACCAACTTTCCATAAATATTCAGGTTCTGGCAATTTTTTTCAAAAATATTACATTATCGTAATTTTTAGTTTCTGAACCTTGCAATCACCCCATAGATTTTTGAGTTAAAATTTTTTTTCCTCAGAAAATTCTTTAAATTAAATATGAACAAAAATACAGTATATGGGAGGTTTGTCATTAAAAATCGAGTTTATGAACATATGATCCGTAACGTGATTTTATAGCAAACCTCCCATATCACAAAAATCACACCACAAAGTGGGCATAAAATTTATTAAATGAATTATGATCTGCAAAGTGTTTTCTTTCATTACTAAAATGTAACTTTTTTTTTTTGACGAAAATATTATAAATAAATTATGTAATGTGTGGCGCAGAAATGGTTTTAAAACGATCAATGTGTAATATGTATAATTCACGAATTGCCAAACTTTTGCTTTTTAGTTTAGTTTGTTATTTTTATTAAAAAAGAAAGATTCTAATGATGAATGATCGTTCCTCATAAAGTAAATAAAAGAATTTACTGATAGAACAATAAAACAAAAATCATTTATTTTAATATAAAATAATTTTCTATTAAAATATAAAAATTACTTTAAATTTGTAAAATTATTTTTAGAAATATAATAATATTTTGAAGGAGGATTTTTAAATAATTCCAATCAAATATATAAATAAAACCAGTTTTTTTGGATAGTCAATACTAGAAAAATTAGTTGTTAATAATAAGAATGATGGTAAAAAAAAATAATACATTATATATAATATTTTCCTTTTCTTTTATTTAGAATCTGAGAATTTATATATTAAGATCTTTATAATAAAAAAGTAAACTTAAAAATTAATATTTAAATTATTTATTTTGTGATTTTACCTAAAAAATATAAAAATTTTAAATTTATACTTTAATAAATTTTTAATACTATATTTTTACTAGATAAAATAAGTTTATACAATTTTTT